CCCCAAAACCCCAAAACCCCAAAACCCCAAAACCCCTTATAAAATTTTAATTTTTGAAAAGTCCAACTGTCTTAGTTCTGACTCAATATGAATGATACTCATTGCTGGGTTAGCTTGATCAGAGGAGAGGCTTTACACTTCACACATAGAGTGCAGTCTCCATCCTTGAAGGTGATTTGGATGAGAACTACAAGGTTGTTAGAGACCTTAGCGTTGAAATATAAGCAAGGAGATCCTCCATCAGTTCTACCCTCTTCCATAAAGAAGATGTTGTTGTCAAGCAATCTCTCTTTTATAAGCTGTGGAGTTGTAAGATTTATAGAGAGATTTGATACAGTGTAATACATTTCTTCATCCCCTTCAATTACTTTCCAAAGTTCTCTCATTTCCTTCACGTTTATCATTGAGCTTTGTCTTACAATTAAGACAGAGAGCATGACAGGGATCTGGAAAACAAACACACCAATACTTGTTCTTAGAGCACACATGATACTGATAGGCATGCCTGGAGCTTTATTATTGTTATTTTCATTGACATTAATTTCTACAACTTCTTTTCTTGTCTCTTGAGGATCAACTGAGAAATCTCCCATTTGTTCAGCTGGGTTCAGACCAAATGAGTTTTTATCAAATTTAATAGCAAAATTCCCAATGCTGTCTATTTGAGTTGTGTTTCTAATTTTCAGCTCCAGTACAAGTTTGTTATTTTCTCTTTGGAAGGAACCTTTAACCTCAAGGCCACTATTTCCATCCTTAGATTCGTCATCCTCTGATACCAATGTTTTCTCAGGAACTCTTCAATATTGGCTGTCATGAGGAGAAGAAATATCTCCAAGCACATCTAGTCCTGAATTATCCTGAGTTTGAGATGGAGTAGAATCTGTAGCCGAGGTTCCAAGTCCGAGGATATCATCAATTGCATCCGAAGTGTTCTTCTCTTGGTTTGAATTATCAACTTCAGGTTCAGGATCATCTCCAAGTCCAATAAGATCATCAAAGGTCTGTACATTGGTGTCTCCTTCATATTCAGTTCTTTTGACTCCTGAAGAATCTTCAACTTCTTCTTGAACTTCGACTTCTTCGTGTTCTTCAAGATCAAATCTTTCTTTAGCTCCTTCTTTACTAATCACAGTCTTGCTTGGAGCCTTGAGACTAATTGAGAAGAGGGTTCCTAGATAAGCAATCAAGGAGTCTAGTAGAGTTGGATCAATATTCTCTGATTGAGTCGATATGATAGGCTTCTCTTCTAGCACAAACTCTCTTGCCATATCTGGGTTATTGACCAGCATTCTCCAGTACACATATCCTCTGTTTCTTAAATCAGGATTCTCAGCTTCCTCTGTGGCCAATTTTAGAATGTCTGCAATCATGTCTTCAGCTTCATCTTCGAGCTTGAGGAAGATCTTGACAGCTGCTGTGAGGATGGCATGCTGAACAATTGTAGCTTCTTCTTTAAAGTTTTCTGCAAACGATTCAATGAGAAGGACACAATTACTAATCTTATCTGCGTATTCTCCAACAATCCAGATCATGGCAGCTCTTTCATCGGCAAAATTGAGGGCTTTGAGGTTGTCACAAAAATCTTTAATGATGGATTCATATCTGTTTGGGTACCTTCTGAGGACATCTTTGATCACAATGACTGATTCTTGTACAAGATATTCAACTTTAGTTCTGACCAGTTCAATAAGAGCCTGGACACATCTATCAGCTGCCTTATCAAGCTTAATAGCACATCTTCCAATGGCTGAGACGGCTTTTCTAACGAAAGGTACATCCAACTCTTGGGCATACTCTTTTACTTCCCTAAGGAACTGGTCAACAGTCTTGAGGTCAACAAGGCGAATCATAATTTCCAATTTCTCCAATTTTACATAGAGAGGGTCATTGAAGTTACAGTAGAATACTTTGATCTCATCTCCCTTTCTGAAGATATCTGGGCGCTTTTGAATAATTAGGTTGACATTCTTGATGGCAATGTACTGAATCTCTGGATTTGATGACATCAAAGATACAAGAGGAGGTGCCAGCTTTCTGCAAATAGATTTTATTTTATCTTCATCTTCAATATAATCCATGTATCTGATCAAAACTTTCGAAGCAGATAATACAACAGCAGCATTACTATGAGATAAGTGAGGAACAACTCTTTGGATTGCACTTTCAATCTCTCTGGTGTCTTCTGGCAAGTGAGTAGCTAGAAAATCTAAAATATAGATTCTTCCCCATTCAGTGCATTCTGAGAGAGCAGTAAGAAGTTTATGCAAAGAACCTCCGTCCATTTCAAAGAACTTTCCTCTTCTGTTAGTTATTTCCATGAGTGAAGCTACTGCGTTCGAGACGACCATTGCATTTCCATCAGATAATAAATCCACTAAGCTATCTACAAATTCAAGTTCTTCGCATCTCTCAGCACTGATATCATAAACCTTGATGATGGAGATAGCTGCAGTTTTCCTGACATAAGGATCTTCGTCATTGAGTGCGTCTTTGAGGGGCTCACAAATGTAGTCAATTATACTCTCAACCCCAATACATCCCATTGTTCTTACAGCAAGTCCTCTCATGAGGGGATTAGATCTTTCTCTAGCATCCTTTCTAAAGGTGTTTACTGCTAAAATAGCTAAATCTGGCTGAGACTTGGCATAATTGATAATATACAGGTAGACCAGCTTCTTAAGTTCAATATTGGGAGTATCCATTCACTTCAGTACATCAGTAAAAAGCGGGGAGACATCTTTTCCTAAGGTCATACTAGCAATGATCTTCTTTAGTGCTTCCTTCTTCTTGGGGATCTTTACTGACAACAGTTCCATCCTTAACTCATTGAGTTCACCTCTTTTGGAATTCTGAAAATTGATTGACATTTTTGGATTTATAATTAATCTATTATCAATATTGATTATTAAATAAGGGGTTTTGGGGTTTTGGGGTTTTGGGGTTTTGGGG